TTTATACACATATATATATATATATATATATATATATATATATATACACACACACACACACACACACGCACATATATATTGTATATTTATATGCGTTAAGGAATATTTAAAAATATTTTTGACATACATAAATGTGTAGCAGGTTTTTCCTGTGAGTTTCTCGTGAACTGTATAATTTACTTAAGATATACAATAAATCAACAATTATATTTAAAATATATGAAAATTATTATGGAAAAACAGACGTGCTGAATTATTATTTTTCGGTATTACAATACAATCAATTATCATCGACTTTTTTCTTTGATTAAATGTCTTCGATGCTTGAGAAGCAACTTCTCGGGCATATATAGAACGATTCATTATTCATAAATACTCATTTAAAACGTAAAACCTGCCCCTATATTCTATAACTCGATTTTTATCATGTACAAAATCTGCGAAACGATAATACAACGATGTTGCTGTCATAACGAGTTATAGACTACAGAAGCTACAGACTTAAGCGGCGAGCACAGATTCTTGCATAACGCATAACACGTAATGCATAAGAAAATGAACCAATCAAAGTTCTTCGTTTCCTATCTTTTCCTGAAATAAAGAATTCTGATTGGTTGAATTTCATATAAATTTCATATATGTATTTTTCATTAAGCAAGAGTTTGTGCTCCCCACTTTATTCTGTAACTTTTAACTTAAATTTTGTTATATTATAACGTTATAACGCCGATGTGCAATTTTTTTACAATGATAAAAGAGCTGCGCAGTAGCGTATTATATGGCGTAATATAATAATAACAAAACTTGCGTTAAGAATTACAGAATAGACTTGCTGATTCGACTTCGTCTTCAAATAAATAAAGATGCGTATAACGCAGCCGCACAACACGCGCAATTGAGTAAATATATATTAAATCACCTTAAATAATGTACATAAACAAACCAAACTCAACATATGAAACTCTCAGCGATACTAGAGACTTACATCCTAATATTTTTACAATACAAAAGACGCTATTGGAGTGCTTATGAATATACAAAACATATACCGACACATATTTTTACTTAGGCATTCTCAACCGACTTTTGAAATGGTTGAAGATGCTCGTATCGCACTTATTATATATTCTGTAGCTTCTTCTTTAACTTCAACAATCGTACGTATTTTCATCTGCTACATTTCATTAATGTATATACATCCAATGTATAAGACTCACACTGTATTATTCTATCAGTAAATTAAAACAATCTCGGTACTCACGTCTCCTCCTTCCTACCTTTCTCTCTTTTCAATAAAATTTTGTACTATTTGTTTAATTATACTGAGAGAATAGCAACCGACTGCAATAGAGACTGTTAGCAAACGAAATCTCCATACAGAGCGTCGATGTGTTCAATCAATAAATTACGTTAAAAAATATGAATGTCGGATATATGTATGTGTGTATACTTTAGAAGTTTTTATACCGTTACAGCAATCTGATATTCCGATAGGAATATTTTTGACATATTACCGTCGGTAGGGCGGATTTTTGTAATTGGTTTGCGTGTAATTGTGCAAACTAGAATTCGCGAGTAAAACGTAGGTGAATTCTATCCTGTCGAGATAGAATTTTATTCTCTCGCGTTTTCCTCTGCACAAAATGATAATCATTTTAAGCCCACTCAATATAGTTTCCTCCAAACATGATATTAAATAATCTTTACTTATCATTATAATAAAAACGGATATGTATGCTTTAATGCACTTTCAGCATTATTATTTTATGCGTTTTGAACATAAATACAAATAAATCTAAAATTTAGAAAATAAATATTTTATCTTTAACGAGTATTAATAATATATAACTAATAATATTGTGCAATATATATCATGCTTATTTGTATGTACAAAAAAGTTATTCTCCTGATAAATACTGAGTAATAATCCATAGAAAACACAATCGAGTGGGCTTTTCAAACGAGGGCATGACAAATTCATGGTCCCGTGTACTTTAATTTTTTTTCCAAAGATGTTTCGACTAGATTTGATATATACTAACGTACTAAAATCGTGCCAGCGATACTTTAAATCTGCGCCATACCTGTATATGAGACAAGGCTTCGCGGAGTACAATACCTCTCTATATCACACAGACTTACTTGAATTGTATACGTCGTAGGCATTATGCAAAAATCCTCTTCTTATATGTCGTAATTATAATTTGACGTTATACAAAATAATAATTTATGAGACTAGTGTGTTTTTCTCTTGTAGTAGGCCTGCATGCTTTCGTGCTAGTATCTTCGCATTTTCGTGTGCTATTGGTTTACTCATAAACTAAAGAGTGTAGGCACACAGTTAGCTTAGTTTTATACGTTTTGGTTGGCTCGCATTAGACGCATCTGAAATTCAATTTGTAATTTGTACTGAATAGTTTTTACATAATAATAAAAAGATAATATTTAATTAATAATATTTAATAATGTTTTAAGAACAATCAAATACCTATTGTGTAATATGTAATGTGTCTTACCTCCATTGGATGTCGCTCCAAAGCTACTAACTAAAGAATAATTTTGACTTTTCTGAAATAGAAACAATTATTTAATATTTCGTCATACAATATAAGTAAGATCAATTTGCGAGATTATAATAGGTTTTCAAGAAAAATATTGAGATTTTGTCCAAGGATTTCAATTAATCCAATGAGATCAATATAATAATCAATATATGCACTAAAATATACTAACATCTCCCATTACAGCTATTGGCGTAGTCCCAGTTGCGATAGCTACTTGGTGCTCTATTAAATAAAACATGTACTCGTCATAAAGTAATCTGATAAGATGAAAAGATCCAAAACTCGCAGCACTCCTCAAAGTGAGATCTCGGATAACCATCGAGCTGGACATAATATATAAGACATAATATATAAATTTAATTAAAAAATTCGCTAATAACGATAGAAAAATATATACCTATAAAACGACCACTTAAGCAAAAATTGACGCGCAGCTTTAGCAAATGTTGGCTTCTCCTCGTGTGGTTTAAGTGCTTGAGTAACAACTCCTTTCAACCAGATCGCCCAATCTTCTAGTGAATTTTGTTGTTGTAATGTTACCTTAAAATCCGTTTCAAGACGTTGTACCATCCCATAGTCACATTGGCATACCCAGGATGCCTAAAAAGATGGTTGCGTATGTTACTTCTTTGTGAATATATTGCATGCGTATAAATTAATATTAAGACAAAAAAGGAGGATTATTTAAAAATATTTCAAGATGTCAACTTACTTGTTCTTGCACATTGTGAAAGTCAACGCGATTCAGGTCAGCTAACATTTGATTAATTTGACTAGAATTTTGAAGCACCGCTCGCGCGGCCTGTGCGAGATGATTTAATGATGTATAACGCCTTAAAGTTTGAGCAAAAGCTGACACTGCAGTTAACTGTAACCAAATATAATTATACTGCACATACTATGCTAACATATAATTTTTAACAATGATTAAAAAATTGTATAGAACTTTCAATATTTAACAAATTAAAGACAAGAATAGGTGAAATAGGAGTTGTCGCGGTAATTAGTGTTATAATTTATGTTGTAATTGTGTAAACAGTATTTTAAGCTATATATCTTATTAGTACATATGTGATTGTACGAAATGCAAGTTGCGACAACTTGCTTTATACAACAAAGTTATCGCTTCATTCCGGACAACCTGCAATGGACGTGATAATATCCTTGTTTAATGATGGATGATCTGCACCTGAGGTTGCGACATAGGTACTCGCAGAATAAATTAAATTTCAACAACTCCATTTTTTTAATCGTTGAAAATGACTTTAAAGTAAATCGAAATGCGTACGATCGATAGAATTAACTCAATATTACATTATTAAAGTGTATATATATATATACTTTTTTATTATTTGCGCATTAATTACCGCGACAACTTCTATTTTCCCTGACATTATTGTCTTTAATATAATTTTTAGAAATATATTTTTTGATATCTTTGACTCTCTCTCTCTCTCTCTCTCTCTCTCTCTCTCTCTCTCCTTTCTTTCTCTCTAACGGTACCTTATATAGGATATTCTACAGTTAATTCAAATAAGACAATACCTTAATTTGCGTCATTTCTTCAGGACAATCGGCCATCGCTGACTGTAACCAAGATTCCAATCCCTTTGCGAAATTTCGGATAGATTGCGTCAATGAACCTTGTCAGGATAAAAAAAAACATTTAATACGTAGATCTAGAATAATAATAATAATTTAATCTTATAATAACGTACTTGGAATCGGTCGCAATACGTTAGGCATTAAAACATCGACTAGATTCTGATAGAATGTATAGTCCACTTTTTTTATAAAGTCTTGTACTCCCGTACACTGACACATCTGATATAGTTTAGTTCTGAAAAATAGGAATAAAATATATTTATTGCGTACGTTAAAAGCTTCAAAAAGAAAAAAAATTGAAACAAATTAAAAAAATAATTACATATTAATTTTTTATGTAAGATAAATATCATTTTTTTGAAATATATTCAATATATACATGTATATATAATTCTCCTGTATATTTGATACAAATCTCTTTAATAAATAATACATGTCATATATACTTTGACAAATACTTCTCCTCTTCACATTCATCACCATTATTATTGTCCTGGCTACGCCAGAATTCTCTCCAAAGGCTCTCTACCGTGGCGAATTCGAAATTCAGCACCGCATCCAAGAACGCTTCGCAGTGTTCTCTGTATATGCTGCGGAAGGTATCAATGTCTTCAAGGGTGCAATCCTCGGGCAGGGACGAATCGTGACTAATAAAGATGTCTGGAAAATCAGGAATGGCGCCACTCGCTTCACCGAGATACTGATGATATTGTGGCGATGAGGAATTGGAGGAAATATTCGTATTTGTATGTGCGTTATTTTCGTAAGAAGAGTCCTGTTTTTGATTGACAAATTTGAATCGCTTGGCTTGAGAATTTGCGCTCTGCTGTTGTCTCGATGTGCCATCCTCGTTCATTACAGTTAGCTGTGAACTTGGCTTAACACGAATTCCATAATAATGATACTTTGAATTTCCTCTACAATAAAAAAGAGTGATAAACATTATCAATTTGATAGACACTATGTTTTGCTAATTGTTATTAAGCCTTTTACCTAGTGCCTAAACGCCTAGTTCTTAAGCCCAAGAACACAGAACGTATTAATTTGCCAAAACTAGCTGCGTTCACAGGATCCAATTTGTTTTCGGAGCAATGGCGCAGATAATGATTGTAAAGTGTTGATCTTGGAAGGGATACGCCGTCGGCGGTTTCGTAATTCTCCAATAACCAATGGACCTATTTTTTAGATTAATTATATAAGAAATCAATGCTTATGTTTTTTATAAATAAAAATAGTTTTTTATTAAATAATATATATAAAAGATAAAATAATTTTACTAAAAACAAAAAGTCAAACTCAACTATTCTATGCAAAAAATTATCTTATTAAAATTTTTTCTAAAATAAATTAATATTAGCAGCAAATAAAAATTAATTAATCGTTTTTTTTTAAGATCTATCAATTGCATAACCATTTCTCATGTTTCTCGCAATAGAGATTCTATGAAAGAAAACTTTAAAAAATGCACAACAAAACATTAGAACACAATACAAAGCAATTTTAATTAATAAGACATGCTATAAAAAATTAAAGATACTGATTAGTACGCTAAATAAGCTATGAAATGCGGGGAATCGATTTCTCTTTTTTGGGCTTACGGTGGCCTGGGAGACTCTAGCAGCATGCGTCACGTTTGCCGCTGTGTCTTCCACGGTGACAGTGGTACCTCCAGAATTATTGCTGATCAAGTACGCCCCGCCACCACCGCTAACCACAGCCTCCTATCAAACAACCCAACATACCGATGTTTTGTTAACCCCCAAATTAAGAAACGAACAAAGATATACTTCTTTTTGAAACTACTAACATTCGTAATTCTGTTTGCAAACTTTATATTGGAAAAAATCCATAATATAGTTATTTTAGAAACTACAATGAGAAAGATTAAAGCATTCATTTATATACAAAATATTGGAAAACTTACTTGCGTACGAAAAATTAATTAATATAAATTTGTTTTAGCTTTTTGAGAAAATCTTACTAGTTACACTACAATTTACTGAATCACCCTGTTTGTACCATACATTCTTGCCAAAAACTCTTGACGCTATAAACAATTATTATGTAACTTCGTTAAAACTATTGTATTAAAAGACCTAATACAAATTTTGATGGCTCATATAATCATGCAGAGCACAGATCCCCATGCCTGCAGCCATAAGGCATAAATATCGTCACAAAAGTATACATTAATCATTCAATGTAATTGAGACCATTTTATCTAGCGTCTGAAAGATGAAAGAGTAGCCTGAGAAAGTCATAGAACATGCAATTTACCGCCGTCTCTGTTTGCGGGCTGGTGCGTGTGGCAGCTGCGGATATGAGCGTGTGGGTCGGATCTCCATCTACTACGCTCTGTTGAATCAAGTATGTGCCATTGCCCTGCGACAACAGTTGTCCGGTAGTCGAATTCGTGCCTTGTCCTGTGACCTGATGTAATATAAAAAAATGTCAATATTGTCACAATTTTATCATAATAATTACCGCACTTCATTTAAACATGCAATTACCTGTGCATACGTGACTGGCGTTGTTGCTGGAGTGTAGTATTGACCCGAAGCTGGAGTATACATTGCTCCCGTTTCACCGACAGCGTAAACAGGATATGTCCTACATAAAGTATTTCGTTATTGTTATATAAAACGTTTAGTAAACCATGAAGAAATTATAAGCACGAGATATTTACATCTGGCCATTCGCTGGTATATACGTGGAACCATCCCCTTCGACATATTGAACGTAAGTTGGATGAGAGATCGACTCGGACCCCACCGCCTCTGCGTCACCGGACACTAAAAAAGAAAAAGAATATAGTTGAATATATTTGAATAAGTCATTTGTATCGACACATAAAACTCATGGACGCAAGAAATTTTGTTTTCATGTGTGTCATAAGCGTCATCTTAGAAATTTCCTTAATAGCCGAAAGGTATTACATCTTTAATACTGTACTTGGAATGAAGGTTGTTTTGTAAATGATCAACTTTATAA